TGTGGCTTCTCTCATCCAGGAGGAGGGCCCAGAGGCCTCGCCTCAATCTGCAGAGGTTGGGTGGTTGTCTGAGTTCGCCTGTCAGGTGAGCCCACAGTCGGGTGGTCTGGGAGGTGCTCTCCCTGGTGGCCCTGCAGGGCCTGGTGCCTGGGTGACTGTGAGGGCACGTCTGGGGCTGCCCCACAGCTCACACAAGTGAGTGGCGTTCGGGGCATGGCCGCCGTGTCTGGCGTCCAGTGGGTCAGCGCTGTGCCCCCCCAAGGGGAGTCCTGAGCCCTGGGCCTGGCTCCTGCCTGTGTAGGAGTCCGCGCACCTCACTGGCCTTCGACTCAGCTCGTCTGCTTCCTGCAGCTGGCACCTGAGAATGCCGAGCGGCACAGGGCACCTTTGTCAGGAGGCAGTCATGTTGGTGACAAAAGTGATAGGCACTCAGGACAGCTGCGGAGGAGGCCACTGCCACCCAGCTGTGTGTGTGGCTCCGCACAGCCCAGGCTGTGGCAGAGGCACTGAGACTTGGCCCTGCCCTCGGGGAGCCTGCCATTGGTGGGGGACAGTGATACGACTGGCTGCTCAGCTGTGGCACAAGCGTTGGGTGGGGGTGAGGAGGACAGCCCTGATGGGGAGATGACAAGCCAGGAGGCAGGAACGTGGAAAACATCCTCGGGCAGAATCAGGCAGCTCCGGGCCGCGGGACCCCCAGGGAGACGAGGCTGTTCGGGTGACCAGGGCGCACCGGCCTTCTGCTGAGGTCACGCCCCTCCCTCCCGGCCCTAGAGGACGTGAAGGGACACAGAGCCCTTTGTCCAGGAGAGAGTGGGAGCCGAGTCCCCCGATACTGAGGGGGCAGGACGCATGGTGGCCAAGCCTGCCTCGGAGGGAAAAGCGGACGCGTCCCATAGGCGGTCAGGCAGTCGGGGGCTCCGGGGGTGCACCTCGCCCACACCTTCCTGCCCCCACATCTCCGATTCACAGGAGAGGCCTCAGGCATCCGAGAAACAAGTTACTGCCTCTCACACGTCGGGGGGCTGATGGGCCAGACCTACAAGCATTCAGCGACGCAGGAAACAGCAGCGTCCTGGAGCAACCAGTTGGCCCACGGGAAAGTCCCGTAGCGGCAGGAAGCCGGACGGGTGCCCGACCGACGTCCTCCGTCTCCGCGTCCTGAGAAGAGAGAGGTCCCATGGCAGAGGGGGCTCGCCCCGGGTCGTGGGCTGGTGAAGTTACCCCGCGACGGTCGCCAGGGGCCGCGAAGCGCCTTGCTTTCCTCGGCGGCATCCAGTCCAGTGCCGAGCATGGAGGAGGCGCTCAGGGAATACTGTGGGGTGAACCTGGATGATCTTGACCTTTCCCTCCACATTTTCCCTGAAAAAGAGAAGGTGCTGTGAATTTGGACGCGGACAGTCCCCTCCCGGCAGCCTGGCAGGAACGGCTCTGCACCCAGACGTCAGAGGCCCAGGCGAGCGGGAGCGCACCTCTGTGCGTCTTCCCCGACCTCTGTGCTGTGCCCCTTGCTTCCCGCGGATGGGGGGGTCATGGTCAAGGCGGCGGTCAGCGAGTCATCTGTCCAGGCGCCGCGTTCCCTGCGTTTTGACCCAAGCTCGCTCACCTTCCACGCTCTTCTTCTTATGTGTCCGTTCCCGTGGCCGCACCCACTCAGCAGTCTGGTGGCTGCTGTGGGAACTCCATGGGCCACGGACCTGCCAGGGCCCGGAGCCTCGGAGCCTCGGGGCCTCGGAGCCTCGGAGCCTCGGGGCCTCGCACTGAAGCCAGCAGCCCGCGTCTCCATTTGCATAGAAATGCCCATGTCTGAAAACAAAGACTTTCCAGCCTGGGGTTTTATAAATCTGGCCCATATGCTGCAGGCGTCCCCCATTATTTCCCACTGTAAAATGATGGGGAATACAATTTGCTAAATAAGAGGGCATAAATATTAGGGGGAAAAAGCTTCGAAGGTCGATTTACATAAAATACAGCTTTACTCGAGAGCACGTCCCCGAGACAAAGTCCCTGTTTAAAATGCTTTATGATGTTTGAAATCTCAATTGTTCCTGATATTTATTAGTTTGGAAAACAAGTTACCATGTCCGTGTCCCCTTGGAGACAGAAAAATAAACCATCGCAGCGATCGCTTACCTCTAAGCACAGAGAGAATGTTCTCTGGTGAGAGCATCCCCGAACCGCTGGGTTACAAACGACCATGTCACTTGCAGAAAATGAAATCCGGGGCGGAGAGAAATAAACACTGTGTACCCGGGGAACGGAAGGCGGGAGGCTGCTTTGTCATATCGGTTGGTGACATTCAGATCTTTTTACTCCGCAGTGCCCAAGATTGTCATACTCGGTCCACCGGCCTCGGGGAAAACAACCATCGTAAGTGCATCGCGTCACGTGTGCGACACGGAGGCTGCACCGCGGCGACTTCCATCCCAGCTGAGCTTTTCTTCTCTCCCTTCCCCTGCTTCTAACTTATTTTCTTACTGTAAGAGGCAGTGTGTGTTCATAGTAGAAAACCTAGAAAATACAAAAAAAAAACGCAAAAAAAACTCAAGCCCAGAAGTATCTATAATTCCCCAGCCGAGCGGAGACGCGCGTCACTCCGACGCGTTGGGCTGTGCCTCCCAGGGCGCGCCCGCGGCTACGGGACGCCCGCCGCCCACCTCGGTGCCGCCCCCAGGTCCTCCGCGAGGTGGGCCCGCTGGTCAGACCATGCACCCAGTCCCCAGGACTCGGGCACGGAACCTTCAGGTTCACTCCTAACGTTTTAATTATGAACCAGTGCAACCGATGAGAGGGGCACAGATACCCCTCCCAGGTTTTACCGGAGTTTCTCATTTTGCCGTGTTTGCCTCGATGATTTTCTTTCCATTTCATTTTTATATTTGTTTATTCATTTGTTTATTTTTCTCACCCGAGGACATTTTTTCCATTACTTTTCAGACAGAGTGGAGGGGGGGAGAGAGAGAAAGAGAGAAACATCGATGTGAGAGGGACACATTGATTGGTCACCTCCTGCACGCGCTCGACCAGGGCCAGGGATCGAGCCTGCAACCGAGGCATGTGCCCTTGGCCAGAATCGAACCCGGGACCCTTCAGTCCTGGGCCGACATTCTAACCACTGAGCCAAACCGGCTAGGGCTATTTATTTTTCAGTGTGTTTTTATTGATTTTTAGAGAGAGAGAAACATGGATGAGAGAGACATCGGTGGGCTGCCTCCTGCACACCCCCTGCTGGGGTCGAGCCTGCAGCCTCTCGGTCTCTAAGATGACAACGTTCAACCAAGTGAGCCACACCGGCCAGGGCATGAACTTTCTGGCCTTTAAAGCCTGGTTAGTTCGCCTCAGCCCACCCCCCTCCAGGCCTGTGTCCTCACTGAGCACCGTCCGCCCGGAGGGTGTGCCCGGGGTTCCCTCACCAGCTGCCTCCCAGGATGGCCGATCCTCCTGCACAGTACGTGCACGGGCTCTGCGTTAGCATTCACGTAGCTGTTCCACCCACCCACCTGTCCGGCCACCCACCCGTCCGCCCGTCCCTCTGTCTGGATTGTCTACCCTGTTCCGCAGGCTCGGGCTGTCCGCTCCCACTCCCACAGAACCCCTTGTTGCGTTCCTGCTGGAGTCGCAGGGCTCCCAGCCCTGGTCGGCTGGAGCGTCACCAGGGTGCCCTGGAAAATGCAGGTTCCCAGGCGGTCCTCCGTACTCTCCTCATCAGCATCTCCTGGGGCGGCCCAGGCGCTTGCGGAAAGTGCCCCCGAGATGATCCTGAGGTTGGGACCCGGGTGGTCGCCTCTGGCTCCCTGAGCTGTGTGGACGCGGAGTCGAGGCTCTGTGAGGACTCTCCTCTGGCGAAGGGCCTTCGTCTTCCAGACGGTCGACACCCTGGGGCCACCCTGCCTCCTCCCGAGCTCTGGCTCTCCTCTGACCACAGGGTAGAATGTAGGAAGCATTTGTGACTCAGGAGCAGAGGCCTCCTTCTGTCAAGTCCGAGCGTGGCTGAGGTGCTCGATGTTGTCCCCCCGAGGGTGTCAGTGCCTAGCTGTCCCGTGTTTCACTGTCCCCTGCCCTCCACCTCTGTATGGGGACACATAGACTCTAACTTCACACTAAGAGGATATACAGTAAAATCCAGACAGAGGGCCGCAAAGGGCTGTTGGCTGATGGCGTCACCCACATTTCCCAGCGTGAGGAGTGGAGAGAATTAGGGTTCACACCTGCCCAGAGGACCTTCAGGGCCCTCGAATCACCCTGACACCAAAATGGTCATCGGTACAAGCCTGGTGTCAAGACCTTTCATCACATGATTATTCTGGAAAGTTTACTCTTCACTTGTCTGCATAGCTCTTGTGAAGGAGCCTAAACTCTCGTTTGGCCAGCAGAGGTCCCCTCCCCGCCTCCAGGAGCGTCAGTATCTAGTGTGGCCTGAGCCACGTTTAGGGCCTCTCCCGGCATTGCTGTCACTGCTTCCTTGAGCTCACAGCTCACGGTCCCCGGGCCTGGAAGGGCCCCCACGGCGGCCAGCAGCAGAGCCCGCGCGAGGTGTTCAGCTCCGTGTGGAGGCCGTGCTTGTTGGCAGGCCCGCGGGACCCCGGGCTGGGAGGCGCTGCGTGGGGTTGTCTCCCGTGGCCGGGAATCGTCCCGCTCCCGCGTGGCCGGTCCGTTCCCACAGGTGGGGAAGGGCCCGGGCGCTCTCGGGGTTCCCTCCCCGCAGCTGGGCTCTCCCCTCCTTTCCTCAGGCAATGTGGCTGTGCAAACACCTGAACAGCAACCTGCTCACGGCCGAGAACCTGAGAGCAAAGGAATATTCCTCCCTGGCCGAGGACGCCAGGAGGCACGTTCAGGCAGGGCAGGTAGGAGGCCGGGGGAGCTACTCTGGGGTCATCTCATTTTCTGCAGAATATAAGCTTCTCGGGGTGGGGGGAGGCAGGCTTATTTCCGGAATACAGATGCTTTTATTAGGCTTATAAAAGTCAGTGGAGAGCGAGGAGGGAGTTGGAGATTCCTCCTGGGCTTCATTAGGCTAATTATCAGCACATTTCAGACCACGTCCAAGTGCTTCCAAGGGTGTCTTGTTGGGGTTCTTTGGTCTGCAGCCCGGGTGGAGGGGAGATGAAAGGCAGGCGTGGGTTTGGATCCAGGAGTGAAAGGTTCTGAGGTGGGAATGGAATGGGTGTGCGTGGGCCCCTGCTCGCGGCCTTGTCGCAGGTGGTGCCCGCCAGGCCAGGCCGCTCATTAAGCATCGTCTTCAAATCGTCTGCTGATTTGGAGCCTTCGAAGCTCCCTTTGTGAGTGGCAGTAACACCAGACACCGACGTCCCCTGCTAACCTCGGCTCTGCGCTCCTACACGGAATTCTCTCGTAGGCATTTCCAAATGGTTTCTGGAGTCCTTCCTAATCGCCTGATGTGTGCCAGGGGGCGCCAGGGCCAGCTCCTCCTCCTGGGCCCTGGGAACTCCAGCCAGCGGGGAGTCCAAGGTGCCATGAAGCTAACAGGGCCCAGGATTGGGGCCCGCGGCCCCCTGAGGTCGGCGGCTCCTTTGGCAATGAGTTTACTCGGAAGGGTTCTCTGGGCAGCCGCCAGGCCCCGCCCTGGCCCTGCAGGAGAGCAGAGCCTTCCCCACGGGCGCACCGTGACGCTCGGGAGGGATGTGGAGGAGCCCGGGGCCACGCCACGTGCCACAAAGCCCATGTGGGCCCGGGCGTGCCTGAGGATGCTGGGGCTCCAGGCGGCCAGGGATTGGAAACAGCTTTTCTGTTTGTTTTGAACTGTTTATTATAAAATATTGTGAAGATGCCCAGGAGCAATGAGACTAACATAAGACCCCTATGGACCCACCACGCGGCTCCAGCCAGCATCAACTCATGGCAACCTTGTTCCATGATGTCCCCCCACTCGCCCCACCTCGACTCTGCTCTAGACAGAAGTTCATACTGGAGATCAAAGTGACTATGAGTCCCGAGCAAGTGTCACCCAAAGGTGGCACAGGCACATCAGGGGCCCTGAAGGGTGGGGCCTGCTGATGGGACCACTTGGGCTGTGTCATCCCGGTGAGGAAGCCCAGGCTTGGAGAAGTGAAGTGAGGCGCCCCAGGGTGCAGAGCCGGGGTTCCACCCTCCACCCCTGGCTGCCTCTGAACAGCAGCAAACCCGCTCCGTCTTCAGGGGTGGGGCACCTCCAGGTTAGCACCCAGGGTCTGCTCGGGCCCAGGCAGCCAATGCTGCCCTCGCCGACAAGAGGCAGGCTGAGTGTCGCTGTGTTACCGAAGGGCAAGGTCAGGGGCCAGGGGCTGCGCCTGGGCGGGGCCTTCTCTGAGACCAGCAGGGGCTTCCGTGGGCTCCATCAGCTTGTCCCTGTTTCTCCCCCAAAGAGGCTTTGGGGCTGGGGTGGGGGAGCACGACAGAGCTCTGGGAGGAGGGAGCCTGATTCCCTCGAAGACAGCTTGGCAGGGCTCTGAGAAGCAGCCCCCTGGAAGCCCTCGCTGCGGCTGTGTGACACATCAAAGCTGGCATCGGGACAGCGCCGCGGCGGGGGGCACCCAGGAGGGGCCCAGCTCAAAGTCACCAGCCAGTCCCCGGCTGCACAGACTGCAGGGGGCACTGTGCCCCACCCGGACCTGTCACCTTTCAGCTCATGTTCTCTGACTGGTTGCAGAGCCCCCCCCAGTCCCCTTCCCCTGAGTCCTTCGGATCCCAGTACCTGTTTGAATGCCATCTGCTGGATGGGTGCTGTCGGGGAAGGGAGATGGATTTTTGGAAACTGGCCTCAGGATGTAAACTGGCTCTGCCCGGGTCAGGAGGGGTCAGGAGGGGACAGGAGGGGTCAGGAAAGGGTAGGAGGGGGCGATGAGGAGAGGAAGGGCAGCCTGGGAAAGTGTCCTGGGATGGCCGGGAGGATGTGAGCAGCGGCACAGACACCCTTCCTCTCCAGCGGCTTCTCCCACGTGGGGCAGGGCTCCCAGTGCTTGAGATGCTTCAGACACCGGTGCTCCAGGTGGGGCCCCCGGACCGGCGGCATCCCCTGAACACCTGTGAGAACTGCGGCTGAGCCCCGCGCCTGCCAGTTGTGACCTTTGGCGTCCGGCGCCCGAGCTCAGGCCCCCCGTGCTCTCTCCCGCAGGCGGTGCCCAGCACGCTGCTCGGCAAGCTGATCCAGGAGCGCCTGGGCGAAGAGGACTGCGTCAGCCGGGTGAGCAGCCCTGCGGGCCCGCTCGGGCTCCCGGGCGGGGGCTCTGTCACCACACGGGCGGGGAGGGGCACATCCGCCTCCCAGGGCAAGTCGGAGCTCGGTGAGGGTCGGTCTGCAGGTGGAGGGACACAGGGTGGAACCTGGGAGGCCCCTCGGGTGCCCGTGGGAAGAGCCGGCCCATCGCGGGGCCACAGGGGGCCTCTGATGAAAGGATGGCCACAGAAGTGGGGGTGGGGGGTAGATGGGGCAGCCGGCCAGCGCCGATGAGGCAGTCTGGGCACCTTCCATCCTCTGATCCCCTCCAGTGCCCCCTTTGGAGATTGGATCAGCTGCCACTGGCCAATATTTAATCAATTCTGCTTTTGTAATCCTCACACAAGGATATTTTTTCCATTGCTTTTCAGAGAGAGTGGGAGAGGGAGAGAGAGAGAAACATAGAGAAGCATCGATGTGAGAGAGACACATCAGTTGACTGCCTCCTGCATGCTCCCCGACCCGCGCTGGGGACTGAGCCTGCAACCGAGGCACGTGCCCTTGACCCGAATCAAACCCACGGCCCTTCAGTCCGCAGGCTGATGCTCTAACCACCGAGCAAACCAGCCAGGGCTCACTCAGTCTTCATGGCAGTCCAGTGCGGGCAGGACTCTCGTCACTCCCACTTTAGGGGTGCAGGGCCTAAGACTTGCAGAGTCTTTCCCAAGGTCCCATAGTCATCCCAGGGCCGAGAGGCGCACACGGAGTCCTGCTTTGGCCACTCTGTTCCTGTCGTGCCAGCGCCTGCTCGCCGTGTCCCTGCGGGCGGGCGCTTCCCTTCCCGTAGCCTCACAGTTCCGATTGGGTGGTGTCCAGGCCAGCGTTACCCGCAGAGTAAAGAAATAGCTCCTTTCGTTTGTTTTAAACTTCTCCTGAGCCCGGCCAGTGTGGCTCAGCGGTTGAGCATCGACCTAGGATCCAGGAGATCGGGGTTCGATTCCCGGTCAGGGCACAGGCCGGGGTTGGGGGTTGATCCCCAGAAGGGGGCGTGCAGGGGGCAGCCGATCAACGACTCTCTCATCATTGATGTTTCTCTCTCTCTCCGTCTCCCTCCCTGTCTCTGAAATCAGTAAAAAATATATTTTAAAATAAAATAAAATTTCTCCGGAGCTTCGAGGGGCATCTGCACCCTCCCACCCCCCCTGTGGGAGCCGGGACTGCAGGAGCAGGGGGAGGCCCCTGGCCATGTGCTGTGGTTGCTCGAAGACAAGACAGACGCTCGTCCAAAGTACACAGGCTTCCTCGCTTCCGGGGAGCAAAATGACACATATGCATATTCATTTACATGGTGATTATTATCATTTAGCTGCACGGGGACTAGAATTGGTAATTTAGAGCACAGGAAAGATGCAGGGCATAGCGTTCAGGGAGAGATAATACATTCACGACCCGTCAGGGCTCTGTAGCTGATGTTGCCCCCCCTTTTCTCTTTGGTGTAATGTAGTCTCTTTGAAGAATTTCTTTGAAGTGACCGTCAAACGCGTTAGGGAACGAGAAACCAGCGCTTCGCATTGGCCCCGTCAAAGGAGGCGGGCTCTACTTGCGGGGACCCGCCGGCCTTTCCTAGGGACAGCCGCGTCCTTGAGGCCCCAGGGCCCGGTGCTCCGGAGCCCGTCGCGGGGCAGAGGGGAGCTCAGGGGAGGCAGTGAGCGCAGGAGGTTTGGGGGAGGCTCAGTACCGCAGGGCTCCTGAGCCTGCCTTCGTGTTTGCTCTCTGCTTGTCTGAATTATTAAGAATCCCTTTCCTTTCCGGGGCACCTAACCCGCCTCCCCGGTTCTCCCCAGTCCCGTCTTCATATTGCCGCCAGGGGGAACCACTAAAAAATCAACGCATTTATTTCTTCGCTGTGGTACTTTCACATGGCTCGAAAGTCAAAAGGCACCCACGTCCCCCTGTGCTGCTGCTCCCCAGCCACCTGGCCCCTTCCCTGGAGGCGACTGATGTTAACACCGTCTTGAAAAAGCATCCTTCTGAAGACTGTTTCATACACAGAGAAGATTTGTCTTTTAAAAGGGAAAGTCACTGCGCCCCTCCGCTGCTGAGACCCTCCCCGCTTCCCACCCTGGGCTGCACCCGCGGAGCCCCCGCGCCCCGGCCCCCTCCCTCTGCCGAGCCCCTGCTCCCTGCCTCTGGACCTCCCCCCGCTTAGCCGGCGCCTGCCCCACTCAGGGCCTGGGCACACTGGCGGGCAGACCCCCAGGGGTTCCCCTGCTCCCAGGGTCCATGCCTGTGGCACCCCCTCCCCTTGCGTGGGGGCAGGGCCAACAGAGGGGGGCAAAGGCGATGAGGCGTCGCCCCCGGAGGACGGTGCATCGTATAAGACGCTGACTCAGTGGGGCAGAGGGGCCTCGCCCTTCCTGGCCGGGCGGAGGGAGCTGCCCGGTAGGAGAAAGCAGCAGGGGCGGCCCCCAGCCGGGCGCAGCCGGAGCCTCAGCCACGCACCCGCTGTGGACGCGAAGCTGCTCTGCCTCGGTCGAGCCTCCGGATGAGAGCGCAGCCCAGCCCATCACCACGGCTGCCCCGAGAGACCCCGGGCAGGGAGCCGAGGGAAGCGGGGTTCAGACTCCTGCCCCACAAACGCGTTGTGTGAGGCCCCCGAGACTGAGATGATTTGTCACGAGGACTAGAAGACACACGTGCCGGCTCTTTTCACCGGCTGAGGTCCCCCTCCCCGTAGCTGGACAGCTGCTTCCCCGTCCTCAGTCTCAGGTTAACGTCACTCCTCCGGGCAGGTGCCCTGACCCCGTGCAGCCCCCGGCGAGGCCAGGGCTTCTCTTACCCACCTTCTCCGAACTTGAACTTCCACAGTCGTCCTTAGGACTGTGAGTTCTGTGAGGGTGGGGGCCGGCCTGTCCCCTTCGGCAGGCTCCCCTGGAATCTCACATGGTACCTGGCGCAGACTCCAAGCCTGGGAAACATTAAGGAAACGGACAATTGAAAGCCATCGGCTAACTCCCGGTTCTGCGCCACCGAGGCAACGCAGTCCTACCCCAGCTTGCTCTTGGCCCAAGGAGTGCGACGGGCAGGCCCGTGTCCGGCTAAGAGAGAGAGAAGCATCGATGGACGGCCACCCTCCTCCCAGCTGCGGGAGAAGGGAAGGCATGTGCGCAGTTACGAGGGCTTGTCAGACGGTGAGGGTTTTATCCCCAAGAAAAGGCAGAGGCCTCTGTGCATCAGGAATGTGATTGATAGGTCTGCAGATGGCCTGTGTCCCCTCCACTGGCCTGAGCTGTCCCCTGAATATCTGGGCTGGTGACAGCAGTGAGGGAAGGGAGCAGAAGGACCCGTGGGGAGAGGTGCTTAGATCTCGGGGCGTCTCTGTGCAGAGCACCCCGGAATCGGGCAGGCCAGGCCGCGTGGGCTCTGGCGCGCAGTGCCCGGTCTGAACGAGGCTGTCTCGCTCTCCCGGTTAAGTGAGATCGCACGAGCCACGTGCTCAGCAGCGGGCGGGCCCTGAGACCCACGCAGGCTGAGGAAGGGGCTTCTCCCATGCCCCGGGGCGGCGAAGCAGTTAGGGTCACTTAGGGGCGGGGGCAGAGGACTGCTCCTCCCTCGGCCCCGAGTGAGAAACCGTCCCGGGCACTTCTGGGGTTGGCTAGTGACCTGCCAGCTCTAAACATCTCCGGTCCCAGCACCTGGCCAAGGTGTCTCCCTAACGCCCCTCCCAGAAGCAAAGGCGCGAGACGGAGCCTGGCCCCTGGGAGGTGTGGTTCCTTAGGCGGGGTGTGAAAAATGATGACCTTGCCCAGGGTCCACTGGGCCTGGGATCTCGTCATAGTGAAGGTC